TTTTTCATCTCTTCCCTTTTTTCGTAAGAAACTGTTTTTTTTTTTTGTTACATGGTGTAATAGTTTTACACCGATTCCTCCCTTTAACTCTTCATAAGCAAGACATCTTTAGTTGGACTTTGAATGAGAGATTTTTTTTTTTTTTGAAAAGAGCAATGCAAAGATTAATATTACGTAAGAAAATGCTGATTACGGTCAGAAAATAAGTAAGTCTCAAGTTCGGGGGAGGCAATCCACCCAACTCAACGGAAGTGAGTTAGATATTGACATGACTGCAAACCAATGAGTTGTTCTATTAAGAACCTTTGCCAAACACAGTTGAGAGAGAGTTTGAGAGTTTTATGACCGAGAGATGATAGGCTTTTGACAAACCTAATGGATCGAAAACACATTCCATGACCTTCCTTACATGTTGGAGTGCTGGACTACTCACAGACTACCACTTGACGGGTCAATCCGCCCATTAGTTCAATGGGTTATGAGGTGGATCATCTGGTCCAAGGCATATTGCTAACCCATGGCAAAATGTGATGAGCAATGTTAGCGATAATAAATCAATAGGGATTATTAGATCGGTGGGTCTTATTAAAAAAAATAATAAAACTCACTCATCCAATAATTTCAGTTCATTTGAGATATAATTTGGGATTCATAAAATTTTTCAAATGTGATTGTCGTGTCTGTTCGTGTTGTATTTTATCAAGTTATTGTCAAAAATCGTCCAACTTGTATGTGAGTTGTTTATTAAACATGTGAAAATTATAAAATCGAACACGATTCATTTATTAAACGGATTATACAACATAACCCTTATTAACTATTAATTTTACAACACACACAAAAAAAATTATAATTAAAAATCTTAATTTTGCAATAAATTGGGTCAGTATTAAACTAATAATAGGATAACAAACCGGCAATTAGGTGTAAATAGGTAATTGAATGATATATCAACTTATTCAGTAAGTAATCAAGTGATGAATGAATTAAAGTATTCTATCTTAGTAGGACTCGTTTATTAAGAGGATTTGATTAATTCACTTGTTAATCATTTAAAATTAAATTTAAATTTATTAATTTATTTCAAATAATCGGATTGTATTATATTCCGACACCTGAGAAGTGATGATGAACCAGAAATCAGCACATCTCAGCCAGAAAATAGAAATTTTAAGGAAACAAAAAAGACAAAGTACGGCACAAATCCAGAGAACGGAAAAGAAAAGACAAAGGCTAACCTCCATTTTGTACGATACGATTCCCAAAAGCAGGCCAAAACGTGGATGTCTCTCTCTCTCTCTCTCTCTCTCTCTCTCCTCACATTAAATTCACCAAATTCCCTTCAAGGTTTTATTATTATTCCCCAAGATCTGCAATATCAAGCAACAGGCTTTTATTTACTGTAACAGCTAGCAAGCCACAGAAGTGTTTGCACCTTGTGAAAACGAGAGAGAGCAGAGCAGAGCAGAGAGCATGGAGGTGGGTCAGTTGCAGGAAAGATTTGTTGACTACACAAAATCGTTGTTTTGTGAGGTAATCACAGAATATGCAAGTATGTCTCATATAAATGGGTTTGCGTTGTTGATTTTGTTGGTTTGATCTGCTGTCTTTGTTTGTGGTTTGGTGTTCTGTTTTGGGTTGGTTTCTGATTTGTTTGTGTGTGTGTTTTGATTTTAAGGGGTTCTTGGATGATCAGTTTCTTCAGCTTCAGCAACTTCAAGATGAGAGCAACCCAGATTTTGTGGTTGAAGTGGTGTCTCTGTTTTTCGAAGATTCTGAAAAGCTTCTTAATGATCTTACCAAAACTCTGTTAGGATCTCTCTCTCTCTCTCTTCCCCATGATCTTTCTCTCTCCATAATCTTTCTGCTATGTTCTTCGGTTTATTTTTTATCTTTTTGTCCAGAGATCAGCAGTTTGTAGATTATAAAAGGGTTGATGCCCAAGTTCACCAGTTGAAAGGTAGCAGTTCCAGGTATGTTCAGGGCTTTTCTGTTTTACACACACACGCCCACTGGATTGCCTCTTTGACTATATGAGTTTAATCTAATGTTTGGCATTTGTTGTCTAAATTTTAGAACAACTATATGAATCTTCAAAGTTATTGATATCCACCTGACTTCTCTCATTGTTTTATTTTTCTTTTAACTCCTATTACCACAAGAGTTTCAACCTTAAACAAAAGTTGATGTTCATATGGATGATTATTGATTAGTTCGCTGATTTCTTATATAAAAACATGAGTTCTTCTTGTGATATGACAACAGCATTGGTGCTCAAAGAGTTAAAAATGCCTGCATTGGATTTCGCAACTTCTGTGAGGAACAGAACATTGAAGGGTGAGTAGTTTTACTCTGAATTTTGAGTCAGCCATGTTGAATCAATTAGAAAATGGGAATCACAAATCCTTAAAGATCCAAACAATTAAGTAGCTTTGCATTCTGATAAAGAAAGTTTTGGGTACTTGTAGGTGTTTGAGATGTCTGCACCAAGTAAAACAAGAGTACTCCCTTGTCAAGAACAAGCTTCAAACTTTATTCAGGGTGAGAACAGTAAGCATTTGTAATTTTTTTTTAACAGAGCTGGGGTTAATTAAACTATGTTCCTCCTTTCAGTTTATACTCTCAATTATTGGTTTAAACACATTGCATTTTCAACTATAAACATTCATTAAAGGTCCCATCCTTCAATATCATGATTGGGTCGACCAGGCCAGATCATGAGTGAAATATCATGATCAGGAAGGCTCAGTTCCACACTCTGACTTCAATGATAGGAATGTTGGATTGACGACCTGTGTATAAAGTAAGAAAAAAATTTTAGATTTGAAAAAAAGTTCGCATTGTCCAAAAATTAACAATTTTGTGCAAAGTATAAAGAATGTGAATAGTCAAACATACAAGGTATATAAATCTACAAGTCATCACCCGTGCCTAAAGGCACGATAAAATATAAAATTAAATATATAATAGAAATGAATGGTGTGATATTTTTAGGGAGGAAATATATAAACGATTATATATGTATTAGAAATAAGTGATGTGATTTGACGTTTGAATCTGACAAAGGGATGATGGGTGAGATAAGTGATTGATGATGATTTTGAAGGAAAAAATATGACTGAGATAAAATTCAAACACACTCCTGTTTTATTATATAGATTGTTGAAGAAAAAAAGTGTAATCAAGCCTCTAGTTTAAGGGAAAGTATGAAAAATGTGAATAGATGAAGAGGCAATGTGTCAAGAATGAGAATAGTTGAAGATACCATGTTTTAAAATCTGTTGTTGGAGGCAAAGTGTAATCAAACCTCTAGTTTAAGGGAACAAAGTGCAATTATCCCTTCTTACTATATGTCATCCTATGCCAACTCCTATTTTTCTTTTGGTTGCCTGCTGCAGTTGGAGCAACAGATTGTGGCCGCTGGTGGAGCAATTCCTATGGTGGAATGAGTGGTCCTAAGGTAACCCTAAAGCAAGCAAAACAAGTATGTTTGGGAGCTGTTGTGAAGTTTTTTTTTTTTTGTGAACTATTGTTCTTCACCTATGTAGCTGCTGAACTTGCACCTATAAAAATAATAGTGAAAGTGAGAGCAAACATGCCCTTGTATTTAGTCCTCCTCCTGATGGAGCATGTCGAACTTATAAATGAATTTTGGTTTTTTCACCTTCCTCAGTTTTAACCATTCCTCAAGTTTTTTTTGATCACATGAGAAATGTTTTGAGGCCATTGCTTGGTGAATGGCAAGTAATTTGCCCGGGAACTAACATGACAGTGTGTACAATTTTTTGAGCAATTTGTGTGGAAAGGTATGGTCTATATCCGACCAATCCTCCCTGCGTGATGCATAAGTTGGACTAGCACCAAGTAATGGCCCTTTCTTGTTTATGAATCCTTATATTTGATTCCAAGAAGATCCCACTATTGGGATTTGTGCTTGCTTTAAGTTTTGGATCAACAGCTTGGTGGTTTCTGTGGGTTTTGTTCATCACATTAGCAATAGGCCTAGAGAAACCATCAAAAATGAAAAAATTGAAATACCGCTAGCAGATATACACGGATATGTATTGATGTAGACTTACGAATTCCCTCATACAACTCTAACCACTTTTGCCCATTAGTTATACAATGAATTTGAGGGGGATAAGGATGAAAAAGGGGGGCTCAGAGGGTGCAGCTGTGAAAGAAGATAATCCTATTTACAAAATTGCAAACAAGGGGGCAATTTCCTTTTACAATGAAAGGAACAATTTCACATTTATAGATCAAATCCTTCTGTCTTAAATTTTCTTTGTTTTGTCTCCTTTGAGCTAAATACATACAGTTTTTGGTGGCTTCTATAAGTGTGTGTAAGTAGCAATATGTATGTGAAGAACAACAGAAATACAGATGACACATGCTGTATGTCAACAAAAGGAAGGAGTGGTTAACAGTTGGTTTAATGGCCACCAACCCCGCTATTGGACATCAAGGTCGCAGGTTTGAACTTTGTCGTCCACTTCCCTTAATAGCGCCCAACAAAAGGAAGGAAAAAAACAGAATTCTACCCCCATCTTTGATGAAATGTCAAGCCTGGTCTTTCTTATATGTTATTTGGTGTACTCCAAATTCTTCTTTGCTCATCAAAGCTTCCAACTACAGCTGACTGCTGTTTATCACCAAGTTGATTTGCAAACAGATCATAGTATGCCATAGGGTCAATATGTTGCAAAATTTTTACTGGTTTTCCACGAATGTTGTCGATAATCACTTGTCCATCTTCGGATTCATCACCTGTGGAAGAGACTTTAATGTGTTTGATTTCAAATGTCGATTTCAGATCATCAGCCAAGATTACTGCACCAAGAATTTCCCCAACAAATGTATCCTGCAGCAGATAGTAAGTCATTACGACTATGAATAGCAACTTGTTATAAAAAACCAAAGTTCGCATTTCAGCCGTTGCAGGCTGAAATTTATTTCTTTCAAAATGAAATTTTGATCCTTGGATCAGGACATTCCATGATACTCAAGGAGCATGGTGTCGTATCCAAGGGGTTCCACTAATACATCATAAAGTGGGTCCAGGTTTTAGCAATGCACTCTTTAATATTCAAATCTTTTAGTGATGTTTGCCAATTCTAATCCCGGGAATAAGGAGAGTACTTAGATCGTTCTAAAGTAATGATTGACCAATTTCAAAAAAATTATCATTGCCATACCATATGTTTATATCTGTAATGTGTTCGTTGTAAACGCTGCATTGTTCGCAACAAACGCGTAGCAAACAGAGCTTCAGGTGTCCTCCTCTTCTGAAATAATCTAGCTAGAATCGTAGGAGTATCGCAGACTTTACGTTGGATTCCCAGTGGAATAAGTGTAACTTTGAGTTCTGATTCCAATACTGTCTTTGCAGCCAACGGATCAAGAAACATGTTGAGCTCTGCATACTCATTTGAAGGAACATTGAGGACATTTCCTTTTTCTTTATTATTGTAGTTGATGTGTCCTCCAACTATAACTACCTCCTGCATCAGATTTCAAACAAATGTAATCCGTTCATGAGTCGTGTGACTGTGTTACAATGTTTTTGAAACTTGCGGGTTTTAGTTTTTGAAAATGGTTTTTGAAATATGTCATTGCATGGAGGCTTTCTATGTACACCTTTTGGTACTTAGAAAGTTATTTTAGAGTTTTGGTTTTTCAAGTAAACCTGTGAATATCGAGCGCCCTCTTGGGACTTAGGAAATTGCATGAACTATCATAATCTTCAAAACCATTTACTCCAATGATTCTATATTCACAAGATTGCCAGAGTACACAAAGCCACTGACCTGAATAACACAGCTTATGTTTTTGCGTGAAAGAATTATCTTTGCTAAGGTGGTCAAGGGTCCATTTGTCAGTATTGTAATCTTAGATCCTGGATCGAGTGATTTTATTAGAGGGTCCCAGATTTCAAGTGCTAGTGGTTGTCTAAGTTCAGGGTGATCTGTATCCCGGGGAGCTCCAAACTTTGCAGAATTCTCTGCTGTGTACCTGGAACAAAACTCAGACATCAGTCCAAGATGTTTCGAGGTGATTGAACATCGAAATTTCATAGAATTCAAAACGAATCACTGATTAAACATCAAAATCCATAAATTTAGCAGATTGAAATACTAGCATCTTGCGTTTGGAGAAATAATCGTAATGGTGATGGTGGGTACCTCCGAGGGCTTCGTGGCAAATCACGAGCTAGCCCGTAAAGAGTATCAGAGTCCAAAAGTCCACCACCTCCATGGGGGATAGCCTTGCTATACTTGCAGTCTCCAACACCAACTAAAAGCGGATCAGTCTGGTTCATTGCAAATACATCCCCTAGGCCAACAGGAATATCATCGCGCCCCATCATGTGCAGTAAGTCATAGATGACATCAATAGTTGCTGCATTTGCCCAGCCAGTTGGACTTACTAGAATTGCCTGTATGAACAATGCACATTACAATTGCAGTTTGCTCAGAAGAATTGCCTGAAACTAGTTTTTACTTTCAATCAGACATAATTTCCGGGCTTTTTCCCAGTATGACTATCAGGCTACATGTTTGCTGAACTTTAAGTATCAGTGCATTCAAAGCCAAGTAATCAAAGATATCCTCTGGAGCTAGTTTTTCATTTGAGCTGAAGCTACTCCTCAGGATAGATCGAAGCAGACAGTGTCATGAAGGGTGAAACTGGCAAAAGGGAAGACTAATTTACCTTGAGATTGGCCACTTCCACAGGTAATTTGAGAAGGTAGAAAAGAGCTAGAAAATCTCCCGCGCTCATATCCATGTCAAACACAACATTTTTCCCAAGATTCTTCCCTCCAAAATCTTGTTTGTAGAAAACTTGTTTGTAATAAGGGAATTGTGTCGTAAAATTGAACCTTCCACTATGTTGAGGGCGGTTTAGGACCTGTATTCGATAATGGATATAGAATTATGATCTACCAGAAAATGTATCTTGATAAAAATGTAATGCACCAACAGCACACTAGCTTAATAATATTCCAGGAACTATTTCATTTGTCCAATCAAAATAAATTGCAAAGACATGAACAAACCTTATCCTTTGCATACATAATCCGTAAACATAGTACAAATAGAATTCATATACGATGAAGAAATGAACTGTTGTTTCTGGAAGGTAAAGAAAAAGACTTACATCCAAGAAGCTTTTGAAAAATGCTCTGCTTAGTGAGCTTCTATTGTCCTGACTAGGTTTTGCTCTTGTAGCAACAAGCACCCTCACTGCTTCTGGACCAGTAACTTCCATCGTATAACCATCCTGGTTAGCATGCATTCAGTAGAAAATGAAGTAAGAAACAAAAAATTAACCTCTTAATGTACTTTATTAGATTATTTAGAAAAGCCCATATAGATTCAAAAAATAGATATAAACTCTTTAATAGTCGGTCATTACCTTACATTTCCCTTTTCCATTCTTGACAATGCAAAATGGATCTTGAAGTCCAGTCTGAACATGACCACTATGTACTCCATCTTTTTTCAATTTGAACTTGGGCGTTTTGAGGCCATTGAATAATGGATTTGAGCCATCGAATATCCCATAAGGTTCGTTTGAAGTAACTACAGTTATATTCATGTACTCCATTTCAGCAAATTCATTTTCCCCAGCATGGTTGTGTGGCTTCCTCATGATTGAAGCAGCTACACCTGCTGTGAATGAGTCCCACATAAAATAACTCTGCATTAAATGAGATTACAAATCATTACTAGAGTTGAGCAAAAATGTTCATGTAGTTGAATTTAAGAATGTAAGGATAATCAAACTTAATGCCCATCTGATAGATTACCGTATAGAACTGATCATCAAACCAAGTATCACGAGCCATTTTCAAAGACTTGAAACAATATTGAGCTTCGTAAGTATGCTGATTCTGTTCAAGTACCTCGAAAAAGTTTTGAGAAATGGGGATGGTGTTTGTTGCATCCAAGGGAACAAGGGTAACTGGAATCCCAGAATGGATAACCTACAATCATTAGTCAACATTAGGTATGGTTCGAAACAATCATTACTCATATACAAAAACAAGCATAGTACCTGGTATGCAGCAAAAGGATCTCCAAAGATATTGAACTCTGCATAAGGATTACTAGTGTAGTCTGTGAACAAATTACCACGATCGCCACACTGTCGTGGCTGGCAAGATGAGGTGGTGGCATTTTTCGGGCAGCAACCAGTTGGGTTCTTTGACCTCACACCACCACCCATGATGTAAATATGCTTAACGTTCTTTTTCAACCGTGGATTATTTAGAAGAAATATGGCAAAATTTGTATGAGCTCCAATGAGAATTAAAGTTATGGGACCAGCAGATATTTTGTCGATCATTACTTGCTGAGCAGTGGGCTGTCGAAAAGGAGAATATCTCCTATTTCCCTGATTTCATGAAGAAGAGATTGAAATAAGAAGGTATTACCAAGAAGGAGAATGTGAATCAATGCTGAACATGAAGATGTCAAGTGTCCTTGAGTTTCAGACACAAAGAAAACAGGACTAATCCAGTCTCATACAAAACACCACTCCAAATTGTGAAGCAGAAAAAATCAAACTTACATTGATGACAAAATATAATCTATAGCTTCTACATTGCGTTTGCGTTTTTATGTAATACTAACTAATGCTCATAAGCATATGTTTTGCATAGGGTGAAAAATAAACAAAAACTCTAGCAACAAAGGACGAATTCCACGAGTTCTAAAGAAAAAAAAACGATTTGTGCACTTGAACAAATAGAGAACATCTTAGAAGGTTGTTGTATTATGTTAGAAGAAATAGCACATTGGGTTTCACTGCAGTTTAGATTATTATTATATATGCATTTCTCTTCACTATGTACACGTAGAACAAATTTCAATGTTCTTTTCAAAAAGAAAATCCCCTGTTTTGTGGTAAAATGATTCGTCAAAACAATGCATCAAGGAATACAACATACAACACAAAACAGCAAAAGAGAGACACTGGACTTTATCATTAGCAGGATCCACACCTCCATAAAGCTTATTATTATGAAGAGAAAACAACCAAAACAAACAAGCCTTCCTGCTATGCCTAATTACATTTAAATCCACAATTTGTACCCTATATCACTGTCAAAATGTAGATTCTTACCTGTGGGAGGAAGCTTTTTCGGAAGCCAAAGTTCGTGTCGATATCTAATCGTCCCCCAAGACCTACCGGAATAGCTTGCCTATATCTACAATAGCCAGCTGTACCAATCCCCTGATGAAAATATAACTAAAATGTAAGAAGTGTATGTATAATTGGGACTTAAGAAAACAAAGTAAGTTTCCTTCAACTAATTCAAGTGATTCAATCGATAGGAAAGTTGTCTTATTGAACATTTGATTATATACAACCTCGTGAACATTACAACCAATCAATCGAGAGTTTTCTATACATTTGCATTTCAAGTTTCTATCTATCCCCAAATGCACAAGAAAAGGTAGAAGTCCTCTGCACCTGTTCAATTATTGGGAGATATCCACCAACATTTGGCAGTATGGTACCATCTTCAAGTATTCCACCCTCACCTCCCACCCCAACAGCAATGCCATCACGACCCATCATGTAAAGAATGTCATATATTTGATTCACAGCATGCCCCGCGTTGGTCCATGCATTTGTGTTGATAGTCACTGCCTGCAGCAAGGCAATATCAAAAGAAAACAAAAAAGTGTATCCAGTGTCTTCACAGGATCTGGATACGAATTGGTGGATACAAGCAAGAGTGAATCCCTCCATTATACTATTCTCCAAAACACACACACACACACACATATATATAGTGAAGTAAAATTATATAAAAAGTCAAAATGAATAAGTAATTCAAAATTCACAAGGAATGAGGGATGGCCATACTTGCAAATTTCTCAAGTACTAAAGACTAGCAGTTTAACAATTTTTTAATAAGGCTTTGAAAACGTTATCAACTGAATTAAGAAAAAGAAATATTATGAGTCAACTCAATGATTAGTCACATCTTTTTTTTTTTTTAATTAAAGGCTTGGTTGACAAGGACTAGAAGGAATCTTACCAAAGCTTTCTCACTAAACCACACAAAAACTAATAAGATTTCCCAGATCTTGACCACTCAAATACAAAGTTGGACCAATAAAAAATTCTCACTACCATCCGAACTCATTCAATAAAAGCAAATCATAGCAATAAATGTCTGAAAAATCATAGCATAAGATGATGATAGACAAGTTCTAGATAGGATACATGCACCAACATCAACCTTTAGTAAGAGAGACAAGTCGATTGAATACATACATATACACACAGAGAGGATAGTTTACAGTATCGAAATAAAAATTTCAGTATCATACTAAAAATTACTACTTTAATGGTCAAGTTATACTTTACACCTGATTGAATCATTCATAAAACATCGTGACTATTAACTCTAATCTAATCGAGCGGTAAATATACATGTCTTGAATTCAATTTTTGACGATCCCTTGCAGCCTAGAGAGAAAATTATTATTTCTTATGAATATGTTCTAACATAGATGGTATGCACCTTTAACTAGACTGGGAGAAAATTAGTCAACATTTGCATAAACTGACCTGATACCTGTAATCGTTGAATAGAAAAAAAAAAAGGATAACTTAGACTATTAAAAGTAATAGGTTGATTTTTAAAAATTGTAACTTCATTGATTGATGATACCCTTTATAGTTATAATTAAACCACAAAAAGTTATAATTTTCAATATGATAGGAGCCTTCCAGAGAGAGAGAGGGGGGACAGGGGAGGGGAAGATTATATACATAATATATATATATATATATAGAGAGAGAGAGAGAGAGGGAGAGAACAAGCAGTTGAGAAAATAACCTGCAAATCGAATTCTGATCTGTTAAGCTTCAAGAGGTACAAGAGAGCGAAGAAGTCATCAGTATCAACATCTGTATCCAAAAGAATCCGATGGGGGTGAGCTTCAACCTCCCCAGAGGAGGGGTTAGATTGCCGTATTCCAACTATAACTATAACTATAGCTACAAATATCCATCTCCAGGACAACATTTTTCACCCGTCTTCGATCGAAAAACCACCAATCTTTTTTGCTTCAAAGCCCAGCAAGAACTTGAAAGCAATGGCTTTTTTTAGATCAACTCTAAACTGTTACATCAATCCTGAAAAAGTAATGGTCATTGATCAACAACAGAAAATTCGTAAAAAACTAACCATAATATATGTATATCAGTACGTACAGTATAATGGAAATGTGACTGAGATAGTTTCAGACAGAGTTTGAAGAAAGGATGAGAGAACAGAGAGGACAAAAGCTTTTGTGTGTGTGTGGGAAAAAGAGAGGGAGAGAGAGAGAGAGTACGTATGACTCGGTGAGAACTTGACGGAGCCGTGAGGATCACCGGGCCGGCGGTAATGGAGTCAGAGAGCGCAAAAGCAAGATGCAAAGCAATCGCGTCTTCAATGGTAGACTGAGAGACTACGAAAATAGATAAGAGAGCGAGAGAGAGACAGAGAGAGAGGTGTCTGCTAGACAGAGAGCTAGAAAGAGAGGTTAAAAGTGGTCAATATGCAATAATGGGATTTATAATTAATGCTGTAAGAAGGAAAAATCATAAGAGTAATACTACGGTGATTTAAAGACTAAACTTATAAATTATGCTCGATAATCATAATTATTAAATAAATAATAAATTTTAATAAATACTGAGATTTTCATTGAAATCAGTAGTTGTAATTATTAAGTCTATTTTTTAAATCTATTTAACATTACTCAATCATAAATAGAGATGATTTTTTTTTTTCGTTCAACTCTCGAGGTATCCAAGTCCACTTATCTTATGCTACAACTAATCTCTTCCCTTATCTGATTAAAAAAAAGTCATTGACACTGAGATTAACATATTTATGAAAAATAAATTATTTATGATTTGACGTTAAATGGTTGTCAAATTTGATCTTTGGACGTCTGAGTTTTTATTTATTTATTTATTTTTTGTTACAAGATTTATGTCGACTACCCCATTAAACTCAACGGTTAGTCATCATAATTTGAGGTGAATTTAGAGTTCTCCATTCTTATCTTTTGAGATATCTTTAGAATTATTGTTTATTTATTCAACTGGCATGGAACTATGGAAGGATGACATTTATAAAGGGGTATACAATAATAAATAAAACTTATAATTAATGCAGCTAGAAGAAAAAAATCATAGAGAGAGGGAGGGGGTTGGTTTTTTTATTTTACTATTGGGAACCACACTTTTACTTTATTTAGGTAAACTATGGATAAAATTGAAGGGCTCATATATTATGGCTATGGCATAGAAATTGAAAATGAATTTGTCCGACACAATAAAAGTGTTATTTGTCTATTTTCGAGACTCAAATTTAGGTTAATTATAAAATCGAGTATTTGGATGTGTTTGTGTAGGCATATAACTTAATTATAGATCAAAAATGATGGATCCAAGAAGAGTTAAGTTTTCTGCTCAAAAAAAAGAAAAGAAAAGAAGAGTTAAGTTTGAATGACAAGGTGTGAAAGATTTTCAAACCTTTGAATGACAATCTATGCTCTCCATCTTTAAATACATCATTATAGATCTAATTCCTAACCATGAAAGAAACACCTAGAGCATTTAACATCATTATATATGTTGAAGATACACTTCAATTATTTATTGATGATACAAACTAATCACCACCAACCTCTTAATTATTATTTTTTATTTGTGCTCAAATTTTTTAGTAAATGAGTAGACTCGACTCGACACGATACGATTAATATATAAGTCGGGTATAGATGAAATCAGTCAAAAGAAATATACAAGACAAATACGATATGACACGACTTGTTAGACACAAATTAATAAACGAATCGAGTATGAGTAAAATATTTTTTTACACAAACTCATTAAAATTTGTTTCATCCGAAACGATTGAGAAAATAATATATTAGACTTTAGATGGTCATAGCAAAGACTTCCGATGAGAAGTTCAACTAAATGTACCCCCAATTTTAAGCATTAAATCAATCAACAAGGAAAATTTATAAAACAAAAAATCCACTCAAATTAATTAGATTTTAAGAAATCTATGGTGGGTGTTTGACTTCCATTTATTATTTTTTTGCATTATAAAAACAAACATTTCCAAAGTACAAGTGCCACAATAGGACCCACTAGAAGATCTCTTTGACCCAAAAATCTCAGACCACTAAACTGCACAAAATCATAAAGTAATATTTGCTCCTTGTTTGGATGAACAGGGTAAGAAAAAAACAACCATTTACTTGGGTGATTTAGAATTTTAGAGTGTCAATTTGTAATCCAATGATTGAACGTCCCTTAGATTTTTGTCCTCAAAAAATACTACCATAGTTGAAGCTTTCTACTTTCTGACAAGGATTACCAATGTGTCTCTCTGAACCTATCAACATAGAAAGATACCGTCAATATCCTTTGTATGGCCTTTGTCTGTGCTGTGATTCTTTTTGACCAGAGTTTTTTGTATTGATTTGAGGCTATTTCAGAGCAATAATTGATGGCTTAAAATAAAAGTACCAGAGTTAAAAGGTGGTAAAGGGATCTGACGACGTTCGAGGGAATGTGTTTGTGTGAGAGTTGTTAATTCTGGGTATGGAGCTGGACAGCTCTTTGATGTTGCGGGGAAATGATAACTTAAAAAGAAAATGAAATAACACTAATAATTCAGTGGTTCGTCAAGTTGAAGGGCTTGACTGGTCCATTTTAATAAAGGCTTTTACTCTCTAATTTCTATTGCTTGGATGACGCCGAGCTTCAATCACACCAGTAAAGGAAGCTAGGTTGCTTCATTGGTTGTTTCGGTTTTGGGTTTTGAGGCCACGCTATTCGAGGTCGAGCTGCAATCAATAGATAATGATCCGCTGATTTTGGTATCACCGGTGTTCACCTGAATAATTTTTTTAATCGAATGAAACAATTTACGGTCTATTCAGACTCGACCCGTTCCAACCTGTTTGAGTTAAAAAATTGATCGACAACAACATATTTTTCGGAACTTGTTATATTATCATTGATGAAAATTAAGAATCTGTACCCACACAGAGATGGATTCATAGCTGTGAATGCCTTGCCAAGTGAAGAGGACTATAAGAGTGTGAACATAATGTGGTATATTGATATTTCCTGACTGAATTTGAATGCTCAAAATGCCATATTTTTCTAAGATAGACCTCTGACACACAAAGGCTATGACAGTGAAATAGTTAGGTAGAAAAAATCCCAGTGAAAAGTCTCCTAAGGGAGAAAGCTCTTCTTGTATGAATCTAGACATTGTTCTGAGCAATGCATTCACAAAGCAGTTGATAATGTTGCAGCAGAGCAAGTCCACCTCCATGGCACTTAACTGGTCAAGTATAGAGTTGGTGCTTCTGTTTAAGTAGATCTCTTTTATTTACAAAAAGTTGGACATGAAGCAATAACATATGTTTATCTGTCTAAGCAATACATTCTTGATTCTAGTCTGAAAATCTTTCTTACTTTAGTTGGAATAAGACTGTCTACGATTTTATTTCTCCAAATCTAATTACAAATGAAAGACTTGCACATTGATAACAACAATAATTATATATGAACCACTTTTATGCACCACCTTGTCTATACCACTTGATGTGACACGATCTTAACCTTTAAATATTCAATGAATTCAATAATACTCACTAATTTAATATTTTCATATTGAAGTGGTACACAAAGGTGGTGCAGAAAGATAGTGTGTATAGCATTATTGTAATAACAACCATCTAAATATCCACTCATACTCAGTTATAATCTCCAAACACAATTGTCTCAAAAAAAAGAAAAAAAATATTGTTCAAATGAAAATCCATGTAAAAAATAGGTAAATACGTCGTTGGAAGTCGGATTAAATTTTGTTGAGCTAAATATCACCCCCTTACTTTGATCTCATGCAATCATATGTTGAATTTTATCCAATTTAGATTTAACTTCACTCTATCTTCAATATGACACAGTATGATACGGCACGCTTTTACAAAATTTCAATCTTAATCATACAAATAATTTTCAAACTCCTCTTGTATTATTAGACTAAACTAGATCTTCTTAAATGTCACCCAACTCAAGAGGGTCAAAACTAGGGGAGAGAGAGAGAGAGAGAGAGAGAGAGAGAGAGAGAGAGAGAGAGAGAGAGAGAGAGAGAGAGAGAGAGAGTATTGCATGGCTAAAAGGGCAAGGTCATCCAAAAGTGAAAATGAAGATACGAAATGACTAATCTATTGGGGCCTAACAGCTTGGCTGCTTTAGGAATCGTATATGAGGAAAGTGACATTTATGGTGTCCCCGAGTCCAAACAAGTCTTTGACTTTCTTCTTATATTTCCATTGGATGCCACCCTGTCCACATGTGCAATTAACCTTGTGGGACCCACATGAACCTTTGGTTACGCAATTCCAACTCACCTCTACTATTCAACTACAGCCTATTAGTGCAAACTTAATTCAGTTTTGGCGGTTGGGTTACCCAGCCTCGGCAAGGGATTTGCCAACTGTCTCTCTCTCTCTTTTTTTTCGGGGTTTGGGTCCTGGTCTGGGGTTAAGTCGGGGTTTGAGCTTTGGTTTGAGGTCGGTGTCGAGTTTGGGGTCAAGCCCGGGGCCAGTGTCGACTCGGGATTAGGTTCAAGTCCAAGGTAAGGTTCATGGTTGGGGTCGAGTCCAAATCCGGGGGTCTTATTTGGATCCGCGTCCAAATAGGCTTGTCAACGGATTATATTATATTTGATTTAGAATCTAATTTTAAACTTTTGATCTAAATCTAAATTTCAAAGATTTTATTTATGTGATCTATATCTGAATTCGTTAATAATCTAAAAACCTGATCTAATTTTTAACAAATCACATCTAAGTTTTAACTAAATTTTTTCAAATACTTACTTAACTTCTTTATATATACTAGTTGGTGTATAAGGCTAAGAAAGTGGAGAGACTATTTCAAATTATAGTTTTGTTCTTTTATTCTAAGATAAACAACTCCTAAACTTTTATCAAGGTT